ACTAAGAGAGTATATATATATCACCACTACAAAGATCATCACACCATGCAATACTTTACTATAGACGCAACTTTGATCTAGAAAAATTACATAGGGATTTTTGTATATAAACCCAAAGTTTTACCCTATTAATTTTTAAACCCGACCACTTCCCAAATCACTGTACTCCCCACTGTACTCAACTGATTATTTTTTAGCTCACTTTTGTACTTCGATAGTTTGGTAATATGGTTTAATTTAACGAACCTTTTAAACATACCTTGTGTGAATTGGTTTGGTAATATATATTTTTTGAATATATTATTTTTAATGTTATTTTAAAATTTTAAAAATATGAATTGACAAGTGGCTGTTGAAAAATGTCTGTTTGTTCCAAGGGGTGTTTTAAAAAGTTATGACTATTGGGAGCGCATTTTCAAACCTATAAATATTTTATAATTTTAGATATTTCAACTTCACTTTTTTCAAAACTTTTCTATCAAAAACACCTGCAATACTACAAACTTGTTTCAAAACGAATTAGTGAAAATTTCCAGATTTGATTGCTGGAATTTTTTATTTTCTGTTGTATCATAGGAAGAAAATTTGCATTAACCTGAAGCAACTTTAACTATTTCATTAAGAAAAATGTTTCACGCCTCAGAATTTATGTCTCCTTTATAATTTTTCTAACATATAACGTAAAAGTTAACTATAACACAATAATAGTCGATACGTTGCCGTCTCTTCTAATGTAAAGAAGTGTTGAAATTTTAATTCCACTTGCGTCATAGGAGGACTTATTCTTCAAAATGAAAATGTCAATAACAAATAGCATTTGATGATTGGTAAATTGATTAAAAAAAAGACAGCAACGAATATTTGATCCAATCTAGGTTTCTAAGTTAATAGAAGATACGTTATCAAATTCGGCTACTTCCAACAGATTACGATATAAATATAACCTACTGACCAACTGTTGCCACAAAACAAAAGAAAAGGACAAGGCCGTACGTTAAAAGGGATAAGAAGAGAGAATTAGTCTTCATACCAAATATTTTGTGATTTGTTTCTCTCTTTTTGGCAACTCGAAGATTGACAATAGCCGTGGTTAAATTAATAACTAAGATAATTGCTTTAGTTCACATCTATTTGTATATCTCATTAAAACGTGATTTTAAGACCTAGTCGCGTACCTAAATATAAAGAGCAAGGAGAATTTTGTTGTTATTATTTTTTTATGGCATATCGCCGGCCAACATTAATTCTTAGTGGCATTGCTCATAAGGATAATAAGCCTATAAATGCAGACTCCGACTATATGAAACATGCACTCAATATTCTTCTACAATAATATAGCTAGCTAATTAATAACTAAAAGGAGAGGGGGGCAACATTAATCTATGGCTCTTGTTCAATTCATTTCCGCCATTGTTTTGGCCTTTGTTACTCTTCCATCTTTGGCTCGAGCAACGACGACCCATTTTGTAGGTGATCACTACGGTTGGGCCCTCAACTTCGACTACGCGGCTTGGGCTAAGGGTCGTCACTTTTATGTCGGAGACAAACTCGGTACATATATTTTCATCAAACCCTACAACTTTCACAAATGGTCATATGATTATGTTATCATATATCTAGTAAAAATTTTCCTTATAATTAACTTAGTTTATTAGCAGTTATCATTTCTAGAGTTTGGCATTGTTGAGGAGGATATGACATAGATAGAAATCCCCCCACCCTACCCCACCCAAAAAAAAGTTGTAGGCTGATAAGTGCTAGGAAACAAGTTGAGCGGTAATGAGTTCTACACAAGACCATAAATATGGTTTTTTTTAATTTATTTTTTTTTGCAATTTATCACCCCTACAGTATGGATGTGTAACTACCTTATTAACACATACAACCTCCGAGTAAGTGTACTTTTTCAGTTGGTTTTTAATTAGATATTTCAAGAACTGCAACTTCATGATATTTATATAGAAATTTAAAAACTAGCAGAAAAATAACACCGTGTATAATATGTGACTAAAAAAACGAAGAAGAACAAGAGCAATAAGCAGTTACATCAGGCATCTTCATATAATACTAATCTCACAATTAAATTTTCATGTTGTAGTTTTCAAGTATCCAAAGGGGTATCACAACGTCTATAAAGTAGATGGCTATGACTTCGAGAAATGCAAAGTTCCACAACTCAATGGAGCCATGGACACCGGCTACGACGTTATAACCCTCACAACTCCGGGAAGAAAGTGGTACATTTGTGGCAAAGCCTATGGAAAACATTGCATGATGGGCCAAAAATTGTTCATCTATGTCAAGCCTAAACCATATATGCCACCAAAACCACCAGTTGGTCGACACCCTATACATCATTTTGTTGGTGATGCTTTTGGGTGGAAGTTCAATTTTGATTATGCAGCTTGGGCTCGTGGAAGAGACTTTAGAGTCGGAGACTCTCTTGGTATGAACATTTTCTTGATTTGTAATTTTTAACTTGTTTGGTGATGATAATACTTAATTTTAGTTTGGCAAGTCCCTCTTAAATTGTTCTTGCCATAAACCAGTTTAGTTTTGGACCACTTTCTCTTGGTTCGGAACCATTCTAGATTAAGGTCCAATCCGGTTCAAAATTTTGCCAAACAGCTCCTCCAGGATACAGTTTTCTTTTGTTTTTGTGATGTGATGACACAAAAAACTTATATCTAGATATTTGAAATTATATACTACATCAAGTAAATAATCTTAGCAAAAGTATTTTTCTTTCTTGATTGTATAAATGTTCCTATGACATGATATAATTACAGTGTTCAAGTACCCACGCGGATATCACAACGTCTACAAGGTGAGCGGGCCGGAATTCAATTATTGCAAGGTACCTCAGGCGACCGAGGCTCTGACGAGCGGATACGACGTCATAAAGCTGACGTCACCAGGGAGGAAGTGGTACATTTGCGGCAAGGCCCACGGCAAACACTGCCAAATGGGCCAGAAGCTCTTCATCTTTGTGAAGCCGTGATAATTAATTAAGTCAAGTCTCCTTTCATAGTGATGGAGTATTACATATTATGCAATGCGTGTCCCCTTGTTCTTGTTCGTGTCTAAAGCAGCGTGAGATATATTATGATTTTTAAGAAATTCGTGTGATTTGTGTGATGAATAAGATTGTATACGAGTTGAATTTAATTTAATTAAGCGTTTGGCGTACATTATACTTCCACTTCGTTTCTAATTTGTCTTTTCTCTGAATGAATCGATTTCTTTCAGTAGCCATATATATAAGCAAGTAGATGGCCATGCGTTCTACAGTCATGTGAAGAATATTGTATCTTATGAAGTAATAACCCCGCTTTTATAGAGAGAGGGGGAAAATCAAACAAGGTTAACCGTAATTTTCATAGGCAAACACATACCCAGCATAGTTTTAGCCATCCATGTAAAAATTATAGTTTTCTAATATTTAGCATGTTAAGGGGGTTTTCTAATGAAATCTTAAAGATAAAATAGAATTTTCTAATAACCCCTAACTTAAGGGGGATTTTCTGATATTTAGCCTTCTAAAACGTTATGCTTAAAGTATTGGGATTTAGCTATGTTCTTTTAGAAGTAATATTTAGCAAGAGAATAACTCAGTATAGGAAACTTTTTTTTAAAAGTAACTGAGGCAAAACATAACAAATAATTTATGACCTAGGAAAATGTAATATGAAATACAACGATCAAGCCCATTATTTTACTCACTAATGAACATTTTTCTGTACTTTGATATCAGGGAGAAAAAAGAAAACTTTAATTTTAAAATTATAAAAAAATGAATAGTGAATAATCTCCAATTTCTGACGACCTTCCTAAGTTCTTGCCTCAATAATTTCAGAAGGTCAGGCTAAACTAATCTACTGGCTAGCAAAATAAACAAAACAAGAAAATAAAATGAATTTGAAAATAATATAAAAAACCAAACCTACTATTCTCTCAACATCCTACCGATCTTGCGCTAAGGATTTGAAACAGTAAAGTTCATGAAGATGCAGAACTAAGAGTGTATTAGTACCTTGACAAATATGCAGAACTTAAAAAGTCTAATACAAGTATTACTAACTAAAAACCATTTAAATCCAAACATCTATTTAACAAAAATGCCTCAGGGACCCCAAATAGGGGACCCAAGGGGGGGACAGATGATGTGTCACCCCTAAATGCATGATGCACTGTTCATGAATCATTAAACAGTGCATCATGCATTCATATGGGACACCTCACTTGTCCCCTCCTTGGGTCCCCTATTTGGGGTCCCTATAGCAGCACCCTCTATTTAAATATCAAATGCATACAAATATATAAAAGAATATGCCAAATTATGCGGGTGGGCGCGCGCACAGAGGGTACTCAACAACATAATCAGACAAGAGCCAACATTATTTTGGGTTGATTGACCCACTTAGTGATTTTTTTTATACACTTAAGAATAAACAATCTTTCTATCTGTGCGGATAGACCCTTATGTGCTAAAGCAATTTCTTTTGAGTCAAAAAAGTGGATCGTCGCATCTACCCCAACCTGGACAAAAGGATACACACCATTAAAAGTATATGGGATTATTCGCAATTGGGCAATACTAAAGGTGTATATCCACAATTAGGCGATACTATAAGAGATTGAATTTGATGTAGATTGTATATAAACGCCGTTCTTGGAATTGGGTAATCAGTATGTGATGAAAAGGAACAGCCCATACGCCCACAATCTCGACATTCTACTTGAGAACTCCAAGCGCAAGCATCAGGCTTGTTCAAACTATGGGTTTTCTTCGATCTTTTCTTAAAAAAATTTAGAGAACAAACACTGCTGCATCTCCTTTATTCTTACTTCTACCTCCAATTTTTTTATCCCGTCATACTGCGATTAGGCTCACTAGCCTCTAAACGAAGTATGAATACTCACTATCAAACAGTTACAAATAGAACCCAAATATCAACACATTCAAAACACACAACAGAGCAAATCAATCTCCGGTTCCAATGGATTACCGCAAGCAAATGCTTAACATCCTCGCTATTGTTTTCACCACTCTTCCAGCGTTGGCTAGAGGCACTGAAAACATAGTAGTTGATCTATGGTTGGACACTTTGTAGGGAATTTTAGTCTCCCCGCCTACTATGATCTGCGCAACTTGAAAGCCAACCCACAATCAACAAGATATAAAACAACCACAATCAAGAAAAAAGAACACCAATATAAAACTACGATTTACGTGATTCGATCGACTAACTTCGACATACGTCCACGGGCAACAATACGAGAAATCCACTATGTATCAGGGAGAACTATAAGAGGAACCACTCAACTCTCATCTCTTAATCTCTCAACCTCACATACATAATCAACTCTCATATTCTCTCCAAAAGCCACTCCTTACAATCTTTTGAACAGACAATCTCCCAATGATGTAATCTTTTACATGGACAAAGACTACGGAACCCCCTCCCAATGATGTAATCTTTTGCACGGACAAAGACTACGGAACCCCCTCCCAATGATGTAATCTTTTGCATGGACAAAGACTACGAAACTCTCGCCTCTCGCACAATATTCTTGAATCAGGCTACATCTTCTGCTAACCCTAGATTACAAGAATATTTGCTATCTCCTTTTTCCTTGATTTTTCCTCGAACAATAGAAGAATATATATAGGAAAACCAAAAACTCTATCTCTAGCCTAACTTTCTAATTAGAATAGGATTCAAACTCCTAATCATAATGAAACTCAATCTCCTAATCATGATAGATCTCTAACATTATCTAATTCTGATGAAGTTATACAAAGAATCAAAAACACGATCCCAACACACTTGGCTTCAGCTACAGCGCTCGGGCTGATGGCAAAGAGTTCAGAGTCGGCGACACTCTTGGTAATTTCATATTACTCTTCATCTGTAGAACTCTGACTGAATTTTCTTGAACTAACATACGCTTCTCGCAGTTTCAAGTATGCTGTAGGAAAACACGACGACTTCAAAGTGAATGGCCCTGACTTCATGGCTTGCATTGCGCCCTCCGAGAGTGAGGAAATGGCCACTGGTAATGATGTGATCAAACTTTCAAGCTTAGGTAGAAAGTAGTACATTTGTGGCAAGGCTAATGGTGTCCATTGTCAAAAGGTGATGAAGCTTGTGATCAATATGTTCTCCCAACTATTGTAAGTACTACTCCAGTACTCCATACTATTCATCACCACCGACATGGAAAGCTCCGCCTCCATCAGATTTACCACGTATTGGAGCAACATAACACATTGTAGGAGATAAGTAAGGGCTGGACCCTCAATTTCAGCTTCACTGCTTGGGCTGAGGGTAGACAGTTCAGAGTCGGAGATATACGTGGTACATTATCTATTGCCTTGTAGTCCGTATCAGATGTTTCAGTACTCTTGATGTTGAATTCAATATTTGTTCTTGTAGTATTTAAGTACGCTTCTGACAAAGTTGGTGGTCCAGAATGTGAGCACTGCAGTGTGCCGCAAGAGCATGAAGCTATGGCCACCAGAAATGATGTTGTTAGACTTGCAACTCCTGGAAAGAGATGGTACGTTTGTGGAAAAGCTGAGGCAAGCATTGTTGGTCAGGGATGAAGCTGGTTATTGATGTCCTCCCTTCTTCAATGAAGCATGCTCCATTTGCAGCTCCTTCAAATTCTCTGACATGGGAGGCAGCCCCTTTGACTGGTCCAAGAAAATCCTTGGTCGGAGATGATAAGGGCTGGACCCTCAACTTCAATTACACTGCGTGGGCTGAAGGCAAAGAATTTCGACTTGGAGAAATCCAAGGAATCAAGCTGCTTACTATCTTCAAAGACTTGATCTAAAGGTTTTTTTTTATATATACCCTTAAATTATGCACATTTGCAAAACTATTTTCGGAACCAACTTTTTTTTTAGT